ATAGCAACAGTTAAGGCTATCAGCTGTTAAAACAAAAAACGAACCATGGTTGTTGCTTTAAAAAGCAAAACCACCAAATACCTAGAAAACCTAGGCTTTCAAATCACATTATTTCATTGCTATTTATTTCTGGTGTGTTGCTAATGCTTAGCTTAGCAATAAAGATTGAATCCCGTACAGTTATAATATTCTATAAAACATCTTAAGGAAGAAGCAAAGGGCCTGTACCTTATTCTTACCTGGATCATACAACTTTTCAAGCTTTTCAGATGAGAGTTCTTAAACCTTTAGAAATCATCTTTCAAGGACAACCATTCTCCTGTTTGATTTTTTTGTCTGTGTGTAATATCTTGAGTAAACTCAATGTAACATGATACAACATTATCAGTAGTAAGACAGATAGGGCAAATCTTAAGAAGTAACTGACTCAGCTTTCCAATGAAAACATGTCAGAGGAACTGATATTTGTTTCCTTGAAAAATCGAAACCGCACAGCACTTTCAAATATATGGTTGCAATGCTGTCACTGTACACAATAAACTGGGTGGACTACTCCATCCCATGGAAATATATCATTTTAGGATTTTGAAGTTATTTTTGCAAGGCTGAAATGTAGAAGCACTCCTGAATTCCATAATTTGGGGTGGGAGGGGAGGTGTTGTGTGTTTTCAAAGGTAGCTACTTACTGGGTGTACTGCCTGAACCAATGTAAGGAAGCAATTTATAGAAGCATATATATTTGTACCTGTGAAATGTACTGAAAAATGAAGGGGGAAATTCTTCGAGAGAGTGAGCACAGCAAAAATTGATTCTCACACTACTTTCTTTCAAATAAGTTGAAAAATGTGCTACCTCCTTCCCTTGCAGAGGAATCTGCCACTAACCTGTGGTGACAGGGAAGGCCATGAAGACTCCCTATTTAATAATCCATCCCTGTAAGGAAGACCTGGGACCACAAGCCCAAACCTCTCCCAGCATAAATTGTGATGAATACAATTATTTTTCATTATGGAACTTTGAGTCTCCATTCCCAATGGGAATGACCCTGCCATTGTCATGCCCATTAATAATAATAATAATAATAATAATTTATTATTTATACCCCGCCCATCTGGCTGAGTTTCCCCAGCTACTCTGGGCGGCTTCCAATCGAATGTTAAAAATAATACAGCATTAAATATTAAAAACTTCCCTAAACAGGGCTGCCTTCAGATGTCTTTTAAAGATAAGATAGCTGCTTATTTCCTTCACAGGGCGGGCGACACTACTGAGAAGGCCCTCTGTCTGGTTCCCTGTAACCTCACTTCTTGCAATGAGGGAACCGCCAGAAGGCCCTTGGCGCTGGATCTCAGTGTCCGGCCTGAATGATGGGGGTGGAGATGCTCCTTCAGGTATGCAGGACCGAGGCCGTTTAGGGCTTTAAAGGTCAGCAACAACACTTTTAATTGTGCTTGGAAATGTACTGGGAACAATACAGATCTCTCAAGACCGGTGTCATGTGGTCCCGGCAGCCGCCCCCAGTCACCAGTCTAGCTGCCGCATTCTGCATTAGTTGCAGTTTCTGGGTCACCTTCAAAGGTAGACCAACGTAGAGCGCATTGCAGTAGTTCAAGCGGTAGATGAACACTTCCTTCCCTGGTCAAGTGTGTCGCAGCCACTTACCCATCAACTGCCCCAAATTGTGTAGGACATCCCAGAATTACAAAAGCCAACCTGGTTTCTGATTGGATCCCGGGATGTGCTGTTCTGGCTCCCACAATAGTGCCGCCTCAAAAGACACCCATTTTGGGTGGCTGTGCTCTCTTGTGAGTCACCTAGTTTCCGTGGGAGCACAGCACCAAAAGACATGAATCCTGATTTTCCTCTACAGCATGTTGGAGAGTGTTGTTACTGCCTGTGGAATCTATAGCTCTGTGCCACAGAGATTGACCTTACAGGTCACGCCTATCTGAGATTATAATTAAGGATCAACAAATCCTTTGGAACAAGCATGGGTTACAGCACAGGGTACTACAGGGTAGGAAAAACAGAGGAATTCAGCAGGGTATGTTGTGCAAGTGGATGTACTTTTCTGGTTGTGCAACACATCTCTGGATCCAATGGATGTGTCACTCCCAGGAATGCTGATTAGGGATGTAAGAAAACATTGCTTCCCATTCCATCCTATATTTGTTTCATGCAGCGTGGTTTCCTTTCCACAGCAGTTCATCCTCCACCAAAAGCTTTATTTGTCTCAATGTGCACAGTGGCAAAATTATGTAAGTTACATAATTATGTAGGTTACATAATTTACATAATTAATGCCAATCATATGCACTGGATTTTTCTGACATCCAGTGAAGCAGTGAACACCAGCAATTTCTGCTCCCATTTTTACCAGTATTCTCCAAAATCCCGACTGCTGGTACTAATTTTATTACCTGATACCAATAAAACCCTGTTTGGGAAGATTCACTACTGATTTTATGAGTAGTTTATTGGCTTAAAATTTGTGATTCTGTGTTGAAATTTTCAAATGTGAAATTTAACTTAAGCTATATGGAAGTATTTCTCTTTTAAAAATTGCTAACAAGGCTTCTTGTTTTTAAATAAAATGCAACAAGAAGGAGAAAAGTTATTAGTAACACGTTGGTAGGATCCCGTCCACAACTGGAGGTACCAGTGTAATGTGTTTGTTAATACTAAAGGTGTCATGACTCTAACACTGGGCGGAGGCGGGGGAATCAATAGGGGTTTCAAATATAACATCCCCAGCCCAGCAAACTATGGTTTGTTGAAGCAGGAGAAAGAAGAGGGAAGCACCACAGCCAGTGGAATAACAAAAACAGAGGCTAGTCACACAAACAGTGCCAGAAATAAGGAATAAGGAATGTTAATAAACATGTCAATTGCCCAATAAAGTGCAGATGAAATCTTCCTTGGGGGCACAAGAATATTATTTTGTTGGAAAACCTGCTGAAGTACAACCGACAGCTTGGCTTGCTGCTGGAATCTAACCTCAGAAGCACTGCTAACATAAAATCATGTGCTTTTTCTGATTCTGTTTCACAAGCAAGCGTGACTGTTTTAGTTCCATTGGGAGTTCCTTCTGTCCCCTTTCCCTTTCCATCATCATCATCATCTCATTCTGCTCTATCTGTAGGTCTTCTGCAACCCATAGGAACCACAGAAGGTAGTGTAAACCTGCTCACATTTAATCAAGAAAACATCAGAAAATATCCAGATATTCTGAGCATGGGATTGTACTTCAGCTGCAACAGAGCAAGCTACTATTTGCATCATTTCAGCTAAAGCCAATCTACAGGACCAGGTTGTTAGATACAGTGCAGAAACAGGCAGGCATTCAAACTTCTTTTGTTCCGGTTGAACAAGCACAAGATTAAAACATTTTCTCAAACTGCTTGAAGCTTTGTCTAAGTACTGCTTTCCACACAGGCAGGTCACCTTATAAATTACATTGGCACTTTTAGAGCACTGCTGAAACCTGGTGTTAAATTGGCACCCAGTGATGGAGCTCCTAAAACATTTTTCTGTTAAAGTGACAAAAACAGAACTCCCATTATATATCATGGCATTGATCAAACAAACTGCCAGTATTAAGAACACTCTTCCTGACTTTAAGATGTTAAAAGTTCAACAGAGCTATGTTGACTCCTGACTAAGTAAACCCATGTAACAAAATCCTGGGATGAATTTTAAACAAGGGGTACTGGCACCTAGCTACTATCTGCTTTTGAAAAGAGTGACAACACTGATCATTGTTACAGATATTTATGATACAAGTTTACTTTGGTGTTAATATTTGAAGGTCACTCATTTAGTATCACTAAGTATATAGATATAATAAGAATTCACTTGCCCACGCAACTGCATTATGTGACCCATGAGAGCGGCAAAATAACCAGACTGTACAATGGTGATGGGATAAAATCAGGCCAAATCTTTACTGACAGCAGCAGGCGGGGGAAGTATTGGAATGGCATTGGGTCCCAAAATCAGTTCAGCATTCCACAAGCCCCATGTTGATGGAATGGGTCCGCTGGGTTTGGATCGCTCCAAACCTGAATGGCAGGAGTTGGCCAGTGTCGAACCGTGCTGTGGTGCAAGTCAAGCAAGCAAGGTTTCACTGGGGGACCAGGGTAGACCAGGGTACAGATTCCAACCAGGCAGATACCAAATCCATGCTTGGGTTTATCAATCCTCCCCTCAGGCCCCTTATGGCGGCCCCCTATACTATGTTGATCCTGCCATTTCCACCCTCATACAATGTTCTTCCACCTAACAAAGGAAAACCATAATTTTACTGAGAGAAAGGAGGGAAAAAACCCCCAACCAAGTGCCAATCAGATTGAGAGAGAAAATGTTCTTTCCGGCCCTGTCACCCAGCGACCCAAAATTGCTCAGTGAAGACTCTAACCTGATAAGCTCTCAAAGCAAAATGGCTGTGAGCTCCAAGGAAAGCAGCCTTATATAGGCTTTCCCCTACTCTTTGCAGCAAAGGCTCATGGGACAGCTTTTTCCCATGAGTCCATCACACAGAGAAGATAACTGGGCAAAACCTTGGTCCATTGTGTTTTCCTATTTCTCCTACCATCCACCATCAGTTTAGGAAGGGGCCAAACCTGTCACTAACTCCACATTCCTCTGAAGCAAATAATGGCCCCTAGAGAGATCGAAATAAACACTCCTTCCCCTCCCTGAAATGTTCATTGCAATTGTGCTTAATTCAACCTGCTTTGGTGTGCCATGCACTGGCGGAAGAAGAGGAGTGTGGGGGGAGCGCACCGCCCCCAGCAGTGTGATCCCGGCAGGGTGCCATTGCGGCTGCCCCTTGCCCCCACAATGCGTGCCTGCCCCGCCCCCCTGCTTTCCACCCCCCGTGCCGGAGCATGAAGCTCCACCACTGGTGCCATGTGTGTCTGCATGCAGGTGTGCATGCATGTGCACAAGTACACAAATGAATGAACACACACACATAGGGAAGCCCTGGATATGCATTGTGGATAGCTCGCTCAGTACAGCGTGAGACTCTTAATCTCTGGGTCCTGGGTTCAAGCCCTAAGTTGGGCAAAAGATTCCTACATTGTAGAGGGTTGGACTAAATTACGCTTTGTGTCCTCAACTGCAACACTATGTCCCCTATAGGAATGAATGGCAACTATTCTCTTGTGTGGGAGAAAGCCAAATATCATCATCATCAATCTTTATTACAGTCCAGAGACCCAACAAATCATTACAAAGCAATACACAATTCATACAGCCTACCTCCAGGTTAAACAAGCATTTTGTTCAGAATATAGGGATTATTTGTTCTTGCAACCACCGATAAAAACTTATGTATTTGGAGCACCATTAAGTTAGGGGCCAAGCCTTCTGCGTCCTCTCACAGTTAATACATTTAATTTGTCCCTTAAGAAATTCAGAAAATTCATAAATACTCCAACCAGGGCTTGCTCTGGCTTTTTGGCCACCTCAGGGTGCAATGAAATGTTGGGAGTGTGGGATGAACTGGTGGAAATGGTCTCTAGATAAACTATAACCATTACTTGCCAATTTGGTGGGTAAAACATCTAGCGCAGATCAGCTATGAAGGATAGAGTTGTTGTTTCAAATGATAGTCAGCTGCTATTAAAAGCAAGAGAATCTAACAGCCACCCGACCCTCATCCTTTAGTAAAGCTTTGACTTTAGTGTAACAGCAGGAAGTAACTTACGACATAGACCCGCATCTTAGCAGTAGAGTAAGGCTCTCAAGTGTGCAATATTAAGCAGAACTTATCAATACGCATTCAAGTGATCTAGACGTAATAAATTGCCCTCTAAAATGTAATTTAGGCAAATAAGAAAAGTTCCTGTGCAAATTCCCAGCAACTGAGCACACTTGTCAGTTGTGCCTATAGGAGTTCCAGATCGCCCTCCGGCAGCCTTCTTAACAACAAACAAAACATTCCTTTCTCTAACATGTGACATTTTTCTTCCAAAAACGTACAAAACAGATTTTACGTGTAACTAAAAAGCTCGTTTTAAAATATAAGCTAGGGCTACAATGCATAATCGTCTCTTTCTTTTATATATATATATATATATATATATATATATATATATATATATAAAGAAAAATAATAAATAATTCATATGCATTGCTTAAAACCATAACAATCCCAATATAAAACAGAGGGATAGACACAATGCAGCAAATAGCATGAAAAACAAAGTTTAAATAAATAAACGAAGCATAAATAAAAACAAACTAATTAAAACCTGGTAGCTGACCCTTCAAATGTCATAATTAGTTCTACCAGTCATTTAACTAGATTAAAATTTCCATCATACTGATTTCTAGCTGTAGTTTTGTAGGTAACTGCTGTCCATAATTAAATATACAAAAATAAAATTGAGGAAATAGAGACAATCAATTCTGTGATATTTCACATTTGCAATGTAAGCCTTGGCTTGTGCCCCAGTATACTGGGGCTCCCACTTATGGAGTATTATGTTCTGGGCCCCTAAACGAATAAAGTGGGGAGCACCCTGTAAAAATTGCGTAAAGTGGGAGCACCCTGTAACTGCCCCTTAAGCACCCTCTCTGCCGCTCTCTCTTCAATCCATGCAAAAAATACTGTATCCAAAAATATGTAAGTGTGGGGATGCCTGTATTAATATCCTTACAGGAAACCTATTTTCTGACCTATTGACCAGTGGTAGAAACTTAGATTGTATGGTATCTTTGCTAATATCAAGAAATGTAGAAGGCATTAATTGCAACCAAGCAAGAGTGAGTTCCTTCATCAAACAAAGTGTACTAATTTTAAATAAGCAATCCCCTGGGTCTGGTTTATATTTATACCGGAGGTATAAAGAGATGCAAAAGTTTTCCTGCATAAGCACATCATTTCTACATGATTTAAAATCTTTCTTGGCTAAAGCAATATCCCCTTGGGGGAAAAAATAATTGCGTAGGTTGTCAAATTTCTGAAACAAATATGTCATATTTTGATACCAGGATTTATCCATCAACGGACTAAATGTTCATTGTTCCTGATAGCATAATTTTGCCAAGCAAAGCTCTGGCATTCTTTTACATTTTAGAGAATAATTAAATATCTGCTGAGAAATCTTCATGGACCAAATAAACGATCCTGTCTCCAGCCACAAACACTGGATTGGGTATAGCGGGTGAGGTGTGTGTGAGTTTTTACCATTAATTTAGTATTCTATTTTGGATGCCATCAACTAAAGCTTTAATGGAAGATAAGAAGAACTGTTCCTTTGTTCATCTCAATCACTGCAGGCAATCACAAGAAGCAGCAAAAGCCCAATAGAAGCTATTCAGTTTAGTTCAAAAGGAATCAGTGGTAGAGGTAGCAATTGTAACTCATATTTATGATAGCATCATAGAACTGTAGAGTTAGAAGGGACCCCAAAAGTCATCTAGTACAAGCCCTTGCAATGCAGAAATCTCAACAAGATCATACATGACAGGTGGCCATCTAACCTCTAATTACAAAGCTTCAAGGAAGGAGAGTCTTCTATCGATTACATCTGGGTCTAATCTGAAGCAACAGGAAAAGGAGGGGAAGGATTTGCATTTCCCAGTACAAGAACAAAGTGTGTATCTTCTCTTGGAGGAAAATTCATGTTCTCCCATGGCATGGTCTGAAGGCACTACCTTGCTGAAGCTAAGCTGCTCAATGGTCTGCTGCTCAATGCTTGGATGGGTGATGGCTTTGGATTCCTTGATGAAACACAGTGGGATATGATGATGATCATTTCCCTCTTTGCCTGTGACCCGCTAGCACAAGTGTGACTAAAATTTGAGCCTCCTCTTCCCATTTACTTTTAATATTTGAAGCAGCCTTCAGAGCAGCTGAGATTAAAAAGAACACTGTCATCCCTTTCTCTATGCCTATACTAAAGTTTTGGAAATACAGCGGTACCTCGGGTTAAGAATTTAATTCGTTCTGGAGGTCTGTTCTTAACCTGAGGTACCACTTCAGCTAATGGGGCCTCCCGCTGTCACCGCACAATTTCTGTTTTCATCCTGTAGCAAAGTTCTTAACCCGAGCTACTATTTCTGAGTTAGCGGAGTCTGTAACCTGAAGTGTCTGTAACCTGAAGCGTCTGTAACCCGAGGTACCACTATATGCAGATTCACTCAGTTTAAGCCCCAGAATATTAATCAACAGGGTTTGTTTGGCTTTTTTTTTTAACAGTTTGACAATAGACAGGGACAAGGAACAAACTGGACACAAGAAGGACCAGCCATACTGGCTGCTCATGTCCCAGTGCATCTGCCTCATTCCTATCGAAGTGGTCAGGTGAGATTGGGCTATAGTATTTAACACTGATATATCCATATGGACTTGGAAGGAAGGAAACTGAGCTCCCTTTACCTCCCTTTGACTTATGCTGTGACTTACCGTGTTTCTGCGAACTTGGCTCAGTTATGAGAAATCAGTCGGCCTGAAAACAAATGTGGTTCACCATTTGAGCAATGAGTAAGACAGAGGGGTGGAAAGATTTGTCTCAAGTCACCCATATAGAAGTTTTCTTGAAAAACCCTAAGCACCCTTCCATTTTAAGAAGTGGACAGATGTGTACATAACCTGTGACTGCCACATTACATCCCATTTGGCTCTCAGTAAGTGCAAGGATTAGGAATATAAATAAAAACACATTCGTTTAACTCTTTGTGCAAAATGTAACATATACTCTCTGACGTTAAATAAACAAAAAGATTCAAGTTTCTGAAACATTTCCTCACCAAGACTCTGGAGTCATGATGTTGGGTTGAGCTTCACTGCAATATGTCATTCTGTAGTTTGTCCGCCATTGTTGCAAACCTGTGGATAAAAAAACCATTAAAAAAAAATATATATGGTAGCAAAATGGTGATATGTTATAAATGCATGCAGTAGCAAACACAGAACAGTCTTAACGATAATTTATTTGATCGTATATAAATTTTGTGGCACTTGCCAACTGTAATAAAAAGAGGGCCTCCTTCTAATCCAAGTCTACATACTGAAGACTGGCGCAAAAGCAACAACACTTCTTTCTTATGGTTGAGTTATTTAATATCTTTATTTCACTTTACTGTTACAATATGGTGCTTTTATCCACAACATATGTATATGTGTGTCCAGTATTTAAAGTAATTACAATAAAATTTTGAAAGGAGCCTTTCTGGATTTTTTATTCAAGTAAGACACTGAACCAAGAAGCTGTAGGAACAGTATTTTATTCTAGTTCTTTAAAATATATATATAATAAAAAAGATCACCAAGATAAATGTGAAGCAGCTAAGTATTCCTCAGTGACTACCCAAAAGTGGATTTCTTTCCCTCCCCAAGCTATTTATAAAACTATAGTAATATTTAATATTTAATGTTAATATTTACATGAATATTGTATAAAACCCTGTAAAGTCCAGATTCTTGCACTTGTAAAATAGGAATACTTGATATATGCCCTAAACATCCTTGGTATTGTTCAAATGTCATTCATATTTTGTCCATTAGGGTCCACGCAAATTAGCCAGTATATAGCCCAATTGCACATACTGTCTTATTGAGTGGGTGGCAACAAGCCCTTACGTGCTTGCCTCTCAAGGATGAGCAATAGTCTGACTTTCTTCACCAATATAAAAGGACCTGTTTCATTGTGATGTTGCCATAATCCATAAACCCAAGGAGCTCATATTTATCACAAATAATTCATTTCCCCCAGAAGTAAATCAAGATTCTGCGCATGTGCTCAATATTTAGCAGACCCAAACACCAGGTCACAGTATCTAAAATACTATTTGCTTGAAAACATTTTTGTTAGTTTTACAGACAATAATTTCAGCAATATAAGTATCTAAAGTCAAATGTCCCCACAATAAAAGAGAAATGTGCTTATGTGTACCTGCGGTTCAGACCACGTAGCAAGGTCTGCTGCAGAATCTGCTAATCAGCTGTGAAATGTGCCAAATACACTTTCCTTTTTGTGTGGTAAGAGCACTTGTGCTTCTAAGGAGCTCTCCTTAAAATTCAGTGCCACCAGCTATTGAATAAATTTATCCAATGAA